GCCATCTACCGCCCATCTTCCCCAGTAACACACAGCCACAAGGAAATATTGAGGTTCTTGTATGTCATGCTGTCAGTTCCCTGGGATGAGAAACTAGCGGTTCTGGCAAGAGCCAAATGTTGACTGATCATGTGTGCCCGAATGTGTCCCAGGATCCTCTGTAAAACATGGGGTTCCAAAGCAAATGTACAGGGATTCCTTGAAAAGCCACCCAATGGGGGAGGGGGTGAAGGCAGAAAGTGTGGACAGCGCTATCACTGTCATCTGGTCTAATTGAAATGGGAAGGGGTGTCTCTCCTCCTAATCTAGGTTGAAGGGTAAACTGCTCACGGCAACCGGTATAAGTAGGAGGAAGTGAAGGGAGGTTCTGTTGTTCATTCTGAGACAGTGCTTTGGGCTAGTTAGCCTCCCTAGAAATTCTATTGTATGATTCTTATTTTGTCCCTTCTGAAAAACTTTTCTCCCCTGCTAGACTCCCATTCCATCTCCAAGCTGTTCTGCTGAGGGCAAACACAGGTTTTTGTGCCTTTTTTATACCACAAGATTCTTGGCTCGGCCTTGTGACGTCTGCCTTCCTGCCATGATTGGGCATGCTGCACCATCTGTGTTCTGCCAAGGATGGCACTACATCATAAGTCAATATTAGGTCACGGTTGTCATGGTGCTTGCAATTCCTTCAGATTGTCCTTCATTTTACTGCCACATTCTTTTCCATTTGTCCAACCGTTCCCCTGGTGTGTTTCTACTAATTTCATCTCTATATACAGGATCACACAAGTCAAAGGACATGTCTAGGAAGGCACTTCTCCCTTATCCAGGAGTTTTAGGGGGAATGCAGCAGATTTGACCCCACACACACACATCAAGCCTGTTTGTCCTATAGCCAGTTCCTCTACTCTTTGTGTGCCTGGGATGAGTCCTCTTAGAAGGCTCTCCTCTCCAACCAGCTCATTCTAGGACCTGTAACAGTGCCTGCCTTCTTGTGAATCGGCAGATTTAAAGAAGAGGAGAATATACTTTACAACTGGTGTTTTTTGTGGGTGGGGTGGAAAATTTATGCTTCTCCTAATCTCAGCCCCCCTCCCCTACTGGTTTGTCACTTGGTAGTGGTTAGTAGCACTAATCCATCTTTTGTTATCTAAATATGTCCTCTTCTTTAAAACCAGGAGCAGGTGCCTGAGAGCATTAACCTGCTGGTCGCTGTTGAGAACCTTCATGCTCACAGTACAAGCGTATAAGGAACCCTGAAGATTCCAGAATTTCCAGTTTACTGAAGTTCTTTGTGGGTTTTCAGAGGAAGATGTGTGGAGGACAGGATTTGCATCAATCCGTTTACGGAAGAAGTATAATAAAAAGCAGTGCATCCAGTGCTGGCAAGGCAGGATATAAATCAAAAGTAATAAATAATAAATTTTGCTGTATCTGTTCTGCATGAAAGCCTTCTGCTTTGCATGCAACATTTGCTGTATTTTGCTCTGTATGCAAGACTTGCTGCATTTTGAATTTCTGTTCTGCACACAAGACTTTTTTTGCTCTGCATACCAGACTTTTCGTAAGTTTTTTTGTACTTTGAATTTCTGTACTACATACAAAATTTACTGAATTTTTCTATGTGGTTTGTAGCTTTATATGACAACTAGTAATAAGGCCCGTTGTGGAAATAAATACAACGAGATCTAGAAAGAGGCTCTGGGAGAGTGCTCTGGCTTTGGGCAAACAGTGTCAATTTGCTGTGGCGACCTCAGCAGGGTATAATGACAGAGTCCACTGTTTTCTCTAGAGGAACTGATCTCTGCTACCTGAAGAGCAGTTGTAATTGTGAGTGATCTGTAGCCCTCACCTGGAGATTGGCAACAATTGTTACCCAGGACGAAATGGTTGGTTTGGAGGGTGGAGTCTATGGCATTCTACCTGTCTGAGGTCCCACCTCTCCGCAAACCCCACCCTCTCCAGGCTCCACCCCTGAAATCCCCAGGAATTTGCCAGCCTGGAGTTGGCAACCCCATCTCCTTCCCAGCTAACCATCAACCTACCATTATCTGCCCCTTTGACTTCAGCTGATTTCTGCCCTCCCTTCTGCAGAGCAGTTGTAATTTCGAGTGGTCTCCAGCCCTCACCTGGAGATTGGCAACAATGGTTTCCCATGAGGGACTGAGTGGTTTGGAGGGTGGAGTGTATGGCATTGTACCTGTCTGAGGTCCCACCCCTCCTCAAACCTCACCCTCTTCAGGCTCCATCCCTCAAATCTCCAGGTATTTCCCATCTGGAGTTGGCAACCCTATCAGGACTGGCCCCAATGTGTTTTCTCCCAAAGGCCAAAATAGGTGACAGGACCCAGCTTAGTTGCCTACCAACAAGCACTGAGGGGAAAGTAGGGTTGCCA